TAAAAACCAATGTATTATCTCAATTGATCTTGATATTTTAGACTGACCGGAGGCCGTATTTCTACATTTCTCCATTGTGTTACATGTGATCTATTAATTACGTATGTCGATTTTTGTGACTATAAACGATTCGTAAGACTTGTGGGCGTGAATAGCGTATGGTTTTAGGTACCGTGGTAGCGTTAGTTGGTTGTTATTAGTATGTTTTGACTTACTATCGTGTGGGTTAGAACAGGCCCATAACCTGTTAGACAAATATAAACTGATAAGAAGTGATTTTATTTGGCCCTCCTACTGAGGGTCTTGTATGGTTCTACCGCTTAGGGTGGGAACCCAATTTTCTCTTTGACATGGTGTCATATTTCTGATGACACCTTTCATATATTCTGATGATTTCACAACTGCTGGTTTGTATATAATAATGTCCAACACTATCTGCTAGCTCGTCTACCTTTCCTGAGGTAATAGATAGTCGTGCTACTTGCACGTCGTTCTTGACACATGCCTTCATAGGACATTAAATAGATCGATATGGGGCTGGTGATAGCTTACAATAGGGACATGCACGTGCTTTACGCGGCCCTTTCTTCTCTTGGGACTGTCCTGTTGTATTGGTTTGCATTGGTGTGCCATTGTCTGGTTTGTGACGCGTGTGGGCAGAGGTTGTGGCGTTCGGTTTTGGTTGTGAGTGGCCGTGTTTTATTTACTATCTCTTACACTCTCTGTACATTTGGTCTACCTGCACTTTTGCTGCCGCTCTCATGGATGCCACTCTAAGAGAGTAGAACACATTTTGTTTCATTTCGGATAGGTGACCGTCACTTCCATCAGACAATTTGTCTGCTGCGTCTACTTTGTCTTGCTGTCCATAGTGCATGAGTGCCTTGTTACTTTGAGGAGTTGCACATGGGTTGGCTCCTTGTCTTTGTTTCTGTAACGCTCCTCCAACACCTGCATTGTTCTATGCATACTCTCTGTGTGCACTTTCATATTCAGTGCCTAGTTCTCCATATCTTTGAGAAACTTCTCTAACTATCAATAACGATTATATTGAACTGCTCAGGATTAATGTAGTGCTTTGTTATCTGCGTCTCTGAGTTTCATATCTCATTGAGAAACCCATTGGTCTTCTCAGTTGCATCAGTGGAATCTAGATATCTCACAGATGCTGGGTACTGACATAGTGGCATGGACTTGCTAAGAACAGATGTCTGTATTGTATAGTAAACTCTATAATGTCGTCACAATTTTCCATTGATGAACTATCTCTCGATAACTTCGGAAATTCTAGGGTCTTTAGTATTTCAGATAGTGCTGTTCATTCACCTTACCACTAAACGTGAACACATGATCTCTAGCTCGCTAATGTATTGACTGGTTTGAATTACTTCATCCTCTCTTCATACCCACACGCATTGGTGGCTTGATCGTAGCTCTTTCTAAGCTCTGTGTCGACCAGAGGCATGCGACGCCCAGGTCGCTCATCGTAGATGCCAACTCTCATCTTGTGTAGGCTAGTAATAGCTACAGGTGCTGATGATTCTAGCTTGGAGACGAATCTGCTGACCAGGAACTGATTGCCTTTACAAGTGCTTTTGACACTTTCTAAACGCATTGCTGACGCCTGAATCGGTACCCCATTAGGTATAAACATATCCGAACTACTGCCTGGGATTGGCTCCCCTGCTGCTACACCCTGCATGCCAGCGTCATCCCCTTCTCTGCCGTACACTCCTGCCCTTGTTTCTGTTGGTATCTTAAGTAGTCTGTGTTGGTGTATGTGTGTATTGCAGTTGCTAGTAATGACTTGTTCTATATTCGTTTGGAATGTGCGTTTCACCCACCTTGTCTTTTCTAGTATCTTATTTGAAAATAAATAAAAATCGATCTATTTCACCTACCTTCGTTCTTATAACGCTTTGGTGCACTTCCGTGTGAAGTGTTTTAGCTTGTTGCGTTCCTTCCTGTCATTGGAAAAGAATATTTGATGTTTGTTTGTTAAATTTATTTCGTCACGTGTGATCTTAGACGCATTTTCTCACGTGTGATAATAGTCTTAATCATGTGTGATCTTAGCTATATTATATTTATTTTCTTATATGAGATTTTAGCTCTTTCTTGACACGCGTGATCTTTAATACATATATTTTAATTTTATTCCATGTGTAATTTTCGTGCTATGGTGTCACCTGTGATGTTCGGTCCTGTACCGAACTTCTGTCATCGACATCACTTGTGATCGGTCCCACACCCATATATGGTAACTATCTTCGATTAAGATATTTTGATTGCACTCACCAATTGTGTTATGTTATATATTTGTGTGGATTTTCTATTACAAGTTCGTTGTTATAGTGAGTGGACTTGTGAACGTGTACGGCTGTTTCGCCTAACTGGCTAGCCTTCTTATCGTTTGTTCCTTCTTTCCATCTGATTACTTGTACTTGCTACATTATAATTTGAATTTTGTGCATATGTCTGATTGACTCGCGTGCACGGCTAGATATCTGTTACTGTGACACCTAGTCTTCTTACTGGGTTTCTTTCGACGCTGTATCTGTGTGGGTGTAGGACAGCTTTGCTTGTCAGCTGGACTCATTATTATGCCACTTGCCTATCCTCTTATTACTTGTGCTTGTTTCACTGTAACATGGCACTTGCCTAAAATCTGATTATTCGTGTCAATGACCCTTTTTATCGTGGCGTGTTTATTATTCTGTCTATCGTCACTGCCTATGTTGTTCAATTTCCATCGAATGTACTTTCTTGTAGCATTCTATGATTTAAACGATGAATTTGGGCACCTTCGTGTCTTATCTTTATTGAATTAGATTCGCGTGTATCCCGTTCTTTGTGTGTACATGTATTATTGGTTATTTTTGCTTGTTTAGCTGGTCTTACATTCAGTGTGTGACTGTTGTACATTGATCCATACTTTGTGTTTGTCTCTTAGATACAATCTATCCCAGACTTAGTAAACATAGTATGACATCAATTGTATTCGAATAGATTTCGGCTCAGTCGGTGCATATACTTTCAGGAATCTGGAGGGTGCCTGCTGCTTTCCGTTTGGTGCCCCTGTTACGTGTCAAGTAAGCTTCCATCCAACGATTAAATCTTATTATGTGTGTCCAAACGACACATCTACAGATTTGAACTTGCCCACGGAGTCTTAAACGTCCCTTCCACAGCCTTGAGATTCAAAACCTTGTCAACCATACTCCATAGTGCGATACTTCTTACTTCTGTCCACCGACAAGAACCTCCTGCTCTGTAGGCACCGGATATTCATTACAGCCCAGTTAAGCTCACTATAATTTGTATAACACCGCCAGTCATTGATTGACAGCGGTACAAACCCAGGCCTCTTGAAGGGGTTTTAGGGTATTCTACAAAAAGGGAGATTATTTTTGCAACCAGCTGTATATATCACTGGGATTTTACCTGTATAGCCGCTGTATCAGTGCCGAGCTGATTCCTAGTTGTCGTTATTCTACGCTTCAAGACAAGCAGCGAGAACTGTTTATCTGCCAAGAAAATCTTAGTCAATGGACTTAAAAACTCTGTTCGGTTATGACTGATAGATCTTAAGAAGAGGTACACAAGATTGATGTATTGTAGAATCGACACGTTTGAAACTGATTTTCTAAGCGGCTCTGTGTAGGGTTTTAAAAATAGACTCCAGGATTTCGACATCATTATGTCCAATGATCGCTTGTTCACGGGCGTAACAATCCGAATAATTCTGGCTCAGTGCGACCAGACTTGTGTCTCATCGTCACAAGACCTCAAGACAGACTCTATTAATTTCTGACGGGAATCTTGTCCGATCAATATCCCACTGGAATGATTAAGCAAGCATGTGTTTTTAACTAAGTTTTGCGGTACATATTTAGAGGTTGCACAATCACACGTGATCTACAATAAAATACAACTACTCTATACAGGACATATGTTCAATATAAATTAAATTGTATAACATTATACTGCATGTTGACGTCCTTACAATTTGGGTCTCCATAATTATAAGTCAGTATGATTTAATACTTAACTGTGACAAAGGTAGTAGTAGGGGTGGAATAAATAGATATTTTAGTTTTAAATTTCATATTAAACCCATATGTGGGTACTGGCGGCGGTGTATTGTGGTATGCTGATCAAGACAGGAGATATACTCACTTTGTGCACCTTAGTACCGAGAGCACCATGTAACTAGTTACGTGTTCTAGGCTCATTAAATATATGACGATGGAAAATTGTGTTTTTATGGCGATCTATCGGTAGTTGGCTCTGCGCATGAGAAGCAAATAGCTGCTATACAGTCATTTCTCTTTAATTATTTCCAGAGGTGGCGATGATGAAACACGGTAGATGCTGGATACCGGCGATCATAATCCACCTGCAACTTTGTTTTCGATATGCAGTTCGAGACTACCTTCAATTTTGTTTATATTTTTCACTCCTGCGTGCTATATTTAAAAGACGCTGTGGACTTGAGCTTTACTATTGTATAAATAATGATGCAAGTAATACAGAGTATGTATATATTCCCATAGTGGTGTGATATACTAACTGTAACCACTGTATTGTACTTTGAAGATCACAAGAAAAATATTAGTTAACCGGGTCGTGAGGTATTTACTTTTGAATTTGTACTGATACCGGCATTTCGAATCAAATAAATTGCCCAAGTTTTAGAGCACGTGACTCAGAATAAGAGCAGTTTGGTATGCACCGTCTTATAACACCACTTTGGCCTGTGCTTATCAACACATATTCTTGGATTTATTCAGGAAATATTAAATCCACGTAGTTTCGGCTGGTTTACCTTATGTTATACATACTAGATCTCAAATAAGAATCTTGTGTATTTTTTTGTTTGTCCCAGCTTGCTCTGGGGATGCAAAGCCAGTCATATATAAAAAAAATATCCCAGCCGACTTCGATAATCGGCGTGTCCAAAATCACTATATATTCGCGAGTATATTGTTGATCGTATGGGTCGGTCGCTGTATTTGAGACTTTTACGAGTTTCACGATTGTGTTCGTGACTGCAGACATCCGCATGAGCTACTTCTTGATTTTTTTACTCTGGCTAGGTGTTGGAGGATACAATCTGACAATCCTGTGATACGACGTTCATCAATTCTTATACGAAACTAAACAACCCATGAATGCTTAACTAGCTTCTAATTCATTTGATACTGGTATACATAATGATAAGAATATATCGCCAATATTCTCTTGCTTTGTAATTTTTAAACGAAGTAGGGTTGAATTCATGGGATGGGATCTGTAAAACTTAACCATCTTAAGGTCTTACACTATTGTGAATAGTGCCTGACTGACTAGTCGACCCTGTTGTGTGTGTGTATTTTATGTTGTTGATTTACCATATTTGCTATTTTACGTAACCTACCAACTTATCAAATCCCTTGATAAATTTAAGTTTCTACCCCCAATTTTTTCGTGATAAATGGTATTCATCACTTAAATTAAATCCAACTATCCGCAAGACTCTACCGATATTGCACTGCAAATGAGTAGATAATCAGGACAGGGTAGTATGTAATTTTATGGCCAGCAAATACTTGCCGAGAAATATTGAAACTTTCATACCATCATGTAGCGTCGTGGTTTCTCGCTCTGAGGCACAACATGCAGCATGTAACTCGCACACACAGATACAGACACAGACACATATATACATATATATATATATATAGATTGATACATACATACATACATATATGTATACTAATGCAATAATATAAAATTACAAACTATATACACTTGCATATATATATATGTTATTTGAGAATGCCAAGTATCGATTTGCGCATACACACCTCGTTGTACATAGCTGGTATTTTGTGCACTGTGATGGACAACAGAGACAGCGCCACACAGGCCTCACACAGCAGCACATACATGAGCAGATGCCTATCCGTTAACCCAAAGAAGTTCTGAGCGTGGGAGTGTAATCTGTTGTTTGAGTGTACACGCACTCGGATTGTGTGGTGGAGTGTATAGAAGTACTTGTGAGATTGCGAAGGATTGACGCGATGGGATATTCCGCGTACACAAATAACTACCAGCAAGTGAAATCAATCAGTCATCATGACACACAGCCCAGGTACGTGTAGGTATTGTGTATGGCAGCATATTGTATAGATGAAAGCAACACACAAGTATGAAAGTACAATCAAATACTGTGATAAAGATTTAAACACCAACAACGGGTCAACAATATATATATGTCGAGCAATATCGGCCTAAAGCCTTAAGGTAAGTAATGCAGCACATACCTAATACTTGTTTACGACTACCATCCACTTACACACACACGTAGAAGGCAATGACTATGACATAAGAATGAAACAGAAATCAAGGGATAGGATGTTTGCATACCCATTGATTGCTAGGCGTGCGCTGTATCAGATTCTTGTTCAGGAACAGTTTACGGATGCGGACTGCCTTTGCCATGATGGTGAAGTAAATTATGCCCACGCCCAGGTTGTAAAACCACCTGAAGCCGAGAAATAAAGCAACAAATATATATATATATATATACATACATACACATGTATATAGGAACAGCAGTGAAGTGAATGGCACTTCTAATAAACAAGCAAATATATTTGTATGTTCATTCTATTCCATTGAGAACTAATCATATTATTATTCTAAAGTAATTGATCCTCCGGCTGTCATATATATTATAGATATATAATATATACACTAATCCATACACACACACACACACACACACACACATATATATATTTATATTATATATATGTATATATACATAATATATATATATATATGCATATATGTATACATCAATAACAGTGAAGTGAATGGCACTTCGAATAAACAAGCAATATACTTGTATGTCAATTTTATTTCATTGAGTCTAATCACAGTATTGTTATAGAGCTATTAATCCTCCGGATGTGGTCATATGTGTTATAAATATGTATATATATATATATATACACTTATCCACAGTGATATATATGTATACATATACATATATATAGCAACAACAGTGACGTGAATGGCACTTTAATAAACAAGCAAATATATTTGTATGTCCATTTTATTTCATTGAGATCTAATCATGTTATTGTTATAGAGCTATTAACCCTCCGGCTGTCGTGATATGTTATATATATATATATATATATATTTATATATATAGAGACACATACATAATGTATACATGCATCAATATATATATATACCACCACACGGACGCATACATACATACTGAACACACACACAATACACAACCACATACACATATATAAACAAGTACATTTACATGCTGTTCATGCACATGTAAGACGCCAAGTCATACACATATGTATACTTGTACACGTAGCTTATATCTACATCTACGTGTATATGTACAAGTACATATACACAAACCCATACACATAGATAAACAAGTACATTTACATGCTGTTCATACACATGCAAGTCACCAAGTCATACATATATTTATATAATGAGGTGTAGACACACACACGCACTTTTTTACACATACACATACAATTATATGTACTTGTAAATGTACATGAAAAAGTACAAACATATTATTAATATATATAATATATA